CATCAATATTAACAAACAGCAACATTGGAACTTAGCCGGAGTTACTGAATGCACCTTTAAATGCCATCACTGAGCACCTGACATCTATACAATTTATCCTACTTCAAATGGAAGTGATTTAGTGATTATGTGCCACAAATGTGCTTCCAGCTTCAAAACTCCCTCCTCTGGTTCAGTATGAAATCATTTTCGAGGTGCATTCACGTGGTCTTCATCAAATCTCTCTTTATTTCTACTTTTTCTCTTGGGCCTGGTAATTGTCTGCTGGCTGCACGCTGCTCTGGTCACTGGACAATGGGAGCACAAAAGGACCATGGAGAGCTCCTGCTGTTTGTCCATTATAGTGTGTGACGTGTCTACATTCTCTCCATCAGAAAGCACCACAAAAACAAGGACTAGGGCATCCATATTTTTACAGATGAACCTCTTCGGGAGGGTGGTTGTCCGAACTGTGTTGTAGGGCGTGGAAACATGGGGAATGAGAGAAAGTGAAGAAATTGAATCGGTTTGATCGGATGGAAAGTGTTACCCTAACCTGTTTATTGTGTTCATGAGCATTGGGGAATGACCTAAAGCAGTGGCTCCCAACCTTTTTTCCTTGCGTCCCCCTCTCCAGCATGGACAGGGCACCAACATAACACACCCCGGTTGCAAAACTCTGACTTAAAGGACCATCTAAATGACTGGAATATGAGTTTCTCTGCAGACTGTGTGTAATTATTGTTGTTTCATAGTTATTCACGGTGTTTTTTGCTGCCAGAAAAGTTTTTTTAAAAATCAAACTTAAAATGCGTCACAATGTAATAAACCGTCAAAGCAAAACAAGATTATTCCGTTTATCAATGGCATGATATTGTTTAATTAGCCCGCCTCGGATGTGGTATTTGAAAAGCGTCTCTCAAAACAAACAATATCACAGCTGAATTTCCTACAGCCAACGCCTGGTTGTTGCCGCGCTATTTAAAGTTTGGCCATAAATTAGGCACGCATGCATAATTCATGGGTGCTCTCCTGGGGGTTTATGCAAAGTGAATATCTTGTGCGTCTCCATATCTCTCTGCATGGCTCCCTGAAGACTGGCTACATTATTGCACTAATGGTCTGTGTCAATGAGTCACTCCAACACTTTCACAAATGTCAGAGCGGAGCAGGTCCGGGCCGAGACGTGGACAGCGCAGCATTAATTGTCTCTGGAAAGCGAGAGTGCTGTAGACTGGATATTAATGTGGTCAGAACAGATTTCATTGGAGGAAAACAGGTTTAAGTGTTTGAAAGAAAAGTTATCCCCATGTTTAGAACTCCAGTCTCAAACTGAACGTCTTTTTATTATTTTAAGATTTTTTTATTTGATATTATATTTTAATCTGAAATAACACTTTTAAGACCAAATCAGACTGCCGCATATTGCTCACATCTAATTATTTGTATTTGATTTTTCAAATCCAAAAGGTTTATTTGAACTCTTTTGCAAATCCTCTTGACAACATCTTAACACAGATTAAGAAAACACTTCACCTTTGTTTCAGCATCGCTCCACCGGCTCCCTGTGTCTGTTAGAATTTATTCGAAGATTTTACTGATCACCTTTAAAGGAAGTTTATGCAGACTACAAGATTATTAGGAATATTAGTTATTATTAGTATTCTAGTTTGCAACATCTCTGTTACTCAGATCAAACCTCAGCCTGAAGTCGAAAAGCGCTTCACAAATGTATCAATATAATTAATATTTGAACATTTTATCATGTTTTTTACCATGACATTTTTAAACTGCTGTGACTGATGCATTGGACTGGATAAAAGGCTTCTTACAGTTAGAGGCGTAGTTTCTCACACACTTCAGTAAATGTTTTAACTACTGTACATTCATGTCTCTGTTTTGTGCATGTTTTTAAGCAACAGTTACAGATGATCGGCGAGTCATCCACACATTTGTTGAAGTCCTTATTGTTTATATGAATTGGGCGCCTCTGCCCAATTCATTACAGTACATTAGTACCCATTGAATGAATTGTGAGTTTAGATTATTGGGCAATGAAAAGAACAAAGCAATCAGAATTTTAAAAATATACTTGTCTTGCAAACCAGTCATTTCAGGTGACAGCGCATTGGGCTCTTGTTGTTCTAACGCTGTCCTCTCTTGTGTAAACTCTAAGAAACGCTTCAATAGAATGTTTTAAAAATCACAACACGACATAAAAACATAACATTTGAGTCACAGCAATGCCTAAACTGAAACAATTTTCCCTGAACATTTGGACACCCCTTGAGTGTAAGTGATAAACAGTGAGAGAAATACAGCAACAACAATTGAAGAAAACAACATCTATTTTCTGTTGTTCACGGTGAATGTGGCACGGTCCAGTCCTCAGCGGGAGGCCCGGACGGTGAACTGCACCAGGATCTGAAAGTCCAGCACTGAAAAGGAGGGACAAGTGTTGACAGTAATTTGACTGTGGGGTGAGGGCGCACGCTGAGCTCCCCCAGGAGTTCAGTCCATACACTCTGGAGCAGTAAAGCTTCTGCTGTTACAGTGCACAAACAAGCGCACTACTGACTGCTCATGCACCGGAGAGAAAACAGGGCCGGACTGAAGCCGCAATCTATAGGTGGATTAATGAAGTGTAAACAGCAGCTAAAGACATGTGCAATATCAAGTCATGGATGTGAAAGGGATTTAGAACCATTTTGCCGGAATGTCCTGCCTCTAAAGTAAAATAATAATAATGCATCTGTTTTTACACCTCTTTTCAGGATGAGCTGGAGGCAGTGTGTGTGGATTAGGAAGTCTGGCCGTCTCTGCTTGGACTGCTGCCCCCGCAAACCGGCAAAAGATGAAGCAGAAGAAAATGGATGGATTTCTTTTCAGGACACTCAAAAACGCTTCACATGTCATTATTTTTTCTCCCCATACACTGTGATGATGAACTACTACTGTAGCCACAACTGCCCTGGGGCACACAGACAGAAGCGAGGCAAACAGTATGTACCCAAATATGCCTTCCACAGGAACAGTTTTAGTTCAATCTTCTACCGTTTTTCACTTCTCCTTAGCCACCTCCAAAACCATAGTTTGCGACAGTTTCTGTTCAATATTTTCCCAAAATCACAAAGTACCGGTGTTAGCTGCTAACCAGCTATAAACACAGACAATCCACTGTGCCTGTGCGGCTGAACGGACGCATGGTTGAAGCTGAATACAAAGATTATTGGATGCATATGTTGTTTAAAAACTATCACCAATACTCTCTGAGAAAATAACCATATACTTTGTTTAGTGTTGATTGGGTTAGATTAGAGAAATTATACGAGACTATTGACACTACCAGGAAAGGTTGTTTCAGATTCCCTCCGCCACAATTATAAATTATACGCTCTTCGGAATGTTGTTATGTCACATGAACGCACCCTATAACACTAAATGAAATAAAAATACGTTACAGTGAAAAAATCAGTCCTAATACTAAAAAAAGTACAAATTCTTGCTACTATCTCCAAAAAAAAGTCTGAACCAAAACATTGAACAAGCAACCAACATGTGAGCACGATCGCCCTACGCAGGTTAAAACTAAATAATGTAATTCACAGATGGCACATTTAATCTCTGAGTCTGAACTGAACATAGCTGCATTTGGAAAGTTGCACAAGTGAAATGAGCTTGTGCTTTGGTGAAGTGTCCTGAAAACATTCCCCATTATGGTAAACAAGATCGTACTTTCTCATATATCCCTGGTGACTGTGCCCCTAACCAAATTAAGAGGCTCATTTGCATAAGAGAGATGGATGAGAGGCATGGTAAAATACTTCCCTCTTTGCGAAATAAGTGCACTGTTTCAGACGTCGCTGCCTATTAGCACGCTCATATTTCATCATTTTTTCATACAGTCTGCTGCTGTAATAACTTTGAAACATCCACGGCTTGATGTGATAACAAATGGTGGAGAATGCATTGTGGAGCCAGAGGAAGACTGCGATTTTCACTAGACTGCAATTACCAGGTGAGCTGCTTGGATTGTGATTACATTCTGTGTGCATTCTAATTGGACGTCAATGTTTCCTGACTGGAGCGTGGATGCCTATGAACTCACAAAATACGTATTTATTTTTTAAGTGATGCCCCCCCTCTAAGACCAAGTTAAAAGGTTGGTCAGAAATTGGATGGAGCCCTAACACTTGATAATAGATGGTCAACTACTCAACAGAAATTGTTAAAATAAAAAATATATAAGTAGTATGTAGGGAAACTTTTCTGGGAAGTCAGGACGCTCTATTGTATGTATTTTGGCCAATGTTAACTGTATATTTGTTATTTTAATGTACTGTAATATCATAACATCAACATGCCCAGGGACTACGGGTGGAAATTAGCTCATAACCTGGGAAGATGCAGCTTTCGCTTTTGAGGTTAATCTTTATTTTACACTGTTCCAGTCACTTTAAATAAATAAACTAGTCTAAACAAAACTATAGATGGTGTTCTGGATTCAGGGGCTCCGAAAATGGTTATTCAGGAGAGTTGAAGGTCATTTGGGCGGCACGGTGGCGGAGTGGATAGCACTCTCGCCTCTCAGCAAGAAGGTCCTGGGTTCGAATCCTGGTCGGAACAGGGCCTTTCTGGGTGTCTGCGTAGGTTTCCTCTGGGTACTCCGGTTTCCCCTACCACTAAAAACATGCACAATAGGTCTGGCATGTGCCTCCTGTTCGGCGACCCCGCTCCCATCTCTGTGTGGAGTGAGAGACAAATGCCCAAAAATAACAATTGTAAACCGCTTTGTGACTCTGGTCTGTGAAAGGCAGTATATAAATAAAGATTACTTACTTACTTACTTACTATATTGTCAGTATAATAAGTGTTGTGTGTCATTTTTGAAGGGAAGGGCAGACTCTAAATGCCTTGATATTGTATTTCTGTATCATACACATGATGCACTTACATTACATGAAAATATATGCACAAGAACAGCGAAAATACAAGTGTGCAGTGGCTGACCTTTTCTCCAGCAGCCCCCTGCACTCCATCGGCCTGTTCAGTTTGTCGTCCGCAGCGGTGGCAGTCACACCAGCACGCTCCAGTGGCTCCGGAGAAAGACGCCAGCGCAGTGTGAAAAAGTGCCCCAGGGACAAGGGCTTTGTGTGGGCAGGTAAGTGGACATTCAGCCTGTCACCTCTCCAGCACACTGCATCATTACCGGTGTGCTCCAATAGCTGTGACGTTCGGACCTATGGACACAGACAAAAGGACGGGAGACAATGGAATGTGGTCCATCTTTGCTTAATATAGGCCACTTGTTCTTCCTGATGCAATATTGTTCAGTCAAACAAAAATAATAGTCTCTTTTTAACAACATTAAAGCTGCCACATTTTTTACTTTCTGCTAATGGCTCACTTCACTTATCAGACAATTTAAGTAGTGCATAGTGCTCCATCATTTTTACAAGGAACAAGTCGGAACGAACAGCAAAACAAATAGAAGATCAAATCCTCTTCATTCCCACTTATTGTTAAATGCCAATTCCCATTTATTTTTGGTAACATTTCTCATAAAATAATAATATTCATGAGAAAACAGCTGTCTTGTCGGTGGATGCGAGTGTTATTTCTCAATGGTGAGAGGGTGAAAGACCACAGCTATGTAACTTCTGAACTGCTCAAAGCAAACAGGCCAAAGCAATGGAGCAGCTATAAATGCAAAGTCAATATTCAACCAATCAGTGAGAACCACACACATCTGTGTATGAATATGGGATGTTTCAGAGTGATATTATTGCAGAATATAGTGAAACTTAACATACAACTTCAGACCCTTTGTGCATTAAACTCAGAATAAAACAGACACTTCTTAATTCAAATTATACCTTCTTTGGAGCTGCCCCTAAAGAAATTGAATAAATGCAATATGCACAACCATGTCTAAGCTAATTAGCAGCAGGCCGTCTCACAATGAAAAAAGAATGCAATTAATCAGTAAGCTGTGCCCATGTGTGTGTGTGCGTGCGGATGTGTGCGTGCGTGCGGATGTGTGTGTGTGCGTGTGTGTTTATGTGTGAATGTGAGAGTGTGTTGGGGCTTACAGATGAGCACATGTGAGAGTTTTATTGACACTTCCTTTGTGTTGCTTTTCCTAATCTCCAGCCTCATGTTTCTATTTGACAACATTGTTCTATGAAATCAGTTGTTTGCATGCCTACAGTATTGCATATGCATAAACAGAACACAACTCATGCATTATAATGGGGGACTCAGGTTTAATGATATTGCTTCGCACTAACATAATACTGTATGTGATAAGACGATTTGTTTGGTTTTAAGTTGGGCTTGAGGCTTATGATTGGCTACGCTCCAGAAGCGAATCAATGCAATAATGTGGGTATTAATAGATTTGATCCCGACTGGTCTCCTGCAATTCATAACATTAGATTAAATGTTTTGGCGACAGTCCCAACTGAGGTTCAAATGGAAATGTTATTCTCCTTCTTGAATTTTCCATGTGTACAAAATCAATTGAAGCAACACAATGTAAAACAATGTTTTGTTCAAACAAACCAGGGCTGGGACTGTAATCACAGGCCTCCAGTAATGTTACATTTCTATAAAAAACACATTTCCTAATTAACCAGGTTTCAGTGTTTAGTTCCACTAGTTCCAAAAAAGAGAATTTCGGGTAAGTACATTTTAGGTTTAATACTTGTGGTTTATACGTTTAAACTATTTTCAAGGAGGACTGTGTAGACCTGACTGACAGGAGAGACGGTCCTGGCTCCCACTCACTGTCTCACTCTTCATCAGAATGTGTTCCCTGCAGAGGGACCAAAACAGACCAGTGGCTCATAACGTCGGAAAAATCCTGCAAATACAGTACATCTCCTACATAGTCCCCAACACAACAGTATGTGGGGGACATGTGGGGGGCATGTGGGTGACATGTGGAGGGCATGTGGGGGGCATGTGGTCTGGTGTGGGTGAAAACGGAACCCTCAGCTGATAGAGAAACATTACTTGTTCCCTATATCCAAGGCTCAATTCATGGCAAATCAATTCTCAGATTTGCCAGAAAATGAGCCTTGAAGCAGGTTGTTGACATTGTGTTAGCCCAAAAAAGTACACAGGACTGTAGAGGCAAATAATACAGCAGGCAGTGCCAGCACGGACCCAAGGTACCCTTCACTCCACTACTATACCCCTTTAGCACCCATGCTGCCAATCAGCCGGCATCTAACCACTTCAGCTCAAGCTGAAACCCTCCTCCTCCCTTAGCACCACCTCAATAGTGGGATTTTTCTTCAGCTTTCATCGATCAGGTCAAGAAAAGTATGTCTTCCTTTTTGCACATTCAATGCACTCGTCTGTTGAGGTCCAAGCACAAACCCATATTGGGTTGTGAGGCGCTTTGCGTTGCCTTGTGTAGGAAAGGCGCTCTATAAATAAACGTTGATTGATTGATTGATTGATATTATCCCAACATGCCACATACAGCACATGTCAGTGAATATAATCGTACAATTCTACCAGCAGCAACCAATGTTACTCAATAAACATATTCCAAAAACATTCAAATGCATTGAGCCTCTCCATATTGAGCATTAGATGGATTAAAATGTATCTTACTGTACATTACAAATATGTGTTCAAATAAGTAAATGACTAATATGAACTTTCTGTAAATATGCAATGCTATTGTTACTTTGAATAGTATCTAAAATGCTTTAAAGTTTTTTGAGATTTGAGAGACATGAGCAGAGATGAAGTGTCATGAAGACTGAAACAGTCTATAACAAAGATGTCCTTATAACTGTGCAGCCCGTGTCCTCCCCCACTCCCGCCTCAGCTCCCATCAGTACATCAGACAGACAGCACAGGGCCGGACCCCATCTCACCTCTCAAAGAGCTCCATGACCCCACGCTGCAGCTGCATTCACGCCTCCTGACACATGAGTCAAAGTCATTTCTGAGTGTGTCTGTGTGTAGCTTTTACAACACTCTCCTCCTGAGTCCTGTCTATTTCTCTCTAACCTGTGTACATGTGTTATTACAGCTCCTGTTTAGCCCAGAGCCCATCTGTCACAACTGTCTGCTGAAGGGAAAACACATATTTTCTAAGATGGTGGCAGTTGGCTGATCTGAGCAAAGCATGAACAAACAATATACCATCAAATTGAACGGGCTTTCATTCATGTGGTTTATGTGAGCGCAATGAAATCCCAATAGACAATAACAATAAAATAGAAGCATTTTGTATTCATGACTTTCAATGTCTACACACAGCCATACAGCGGTCTATTATGTGTATTATGTACAGCAGCAGTACTTGCATTTGCTTTGGATCAACACTTATTATTTGTGGCTACTGAAAAATATAATCTACACCTGTTTGCCATGGACGTTAGGAAAGCTGACATCTCATGATTCAATCACCTGTTGAATTTGTTAGAAATAAGTAAATAACAAATAGTTAAAGGAGACATGAGCCTTTAAGTTTGTTACAACATTGCTTCCGCATCAAAAACAGAGTCTTTTTAGATCCATCCAAAAACTTCTGGTACAAACATTGTTCATGAGTTCTCGGAAACTCGGAAGTTACAACTTCCTACTCGGAAAATGGAAATTAATGCTTCTCATCTCAGAAACATTGTAATTGGATAAAAAAGTTGACAAAAACTGAAGAGCGCTGAAGCTAAGCAGGACATAGCCTGGTTAGTACAGTGATGGGAGACATCTGGTGCCAAGCTGTTGTTGGGTCACAAGTCTGGTGTGTGCATGAAGGATTGGTGGTGGTCGATGTATTTCTGCACACATTAGTATTGTTTTGCTCTTAAATTACTCTCAAGTGAAATGATGTTCTATACACACACATGTCTGTGTTTGCAGTCGGTAATTTACACATTTAGAAAAACACGGCACAATCTCAACCCCTCCCTCTTGTGGCAAAATAGACTTGTTTTAAACTTGTTTCACCACTTATTGTCTACTTAATATTATTTCACATTCTAAAACATGCCAAAATAAAAAGTCCTATTATCATTGAATGACCAAGAGTAACACATACTATGTCTTCTGTAATTAGATTTAATGCATTCTGGTCTGAAACTAAATGACACAATAAAACAGTGCACAGACAGAGTCCAGAGCTCCTCATAAGCCTTTTAACCCCGTTCTTTCTCCTCCATTTATTTGCGCACAAAGGCAGTTTCTGATGTCGACAAGAGCCATTTAACACATGAGTAGCAGAGGGGGCGGGAAGGGGGGCAATAAATCTGATGTACCTCCACTTCATATGACCTCTGTCCCTCCGCTCAGCCTGCCGCTCCATCTTTTCATTCACGTTCAAGCTTGCAAGTGTAACATCCTTACAAATGCATTTATAGCCGGCAAACGCTTTCATACTTGAGAGAGGCCACTTTGTTCATTCAATACACCCATTAGCTCGACCTTATCATATGTTTTAAAGTAAGTTTGAGCGGAGGAAATGTGAGGCATTTTTGAGAAGTTGACATTGTAACACTGTCATAAACGCATAAAGAAAGTCTACTATAAAAGCTTGAGAAGAAGACAAAAAAAACCATGGTTCAAATAAATGATACTTGCCAGAATCCAACAAGGGCGAATTGAAGATAATGTTTCATCAAGCCTATTCTGACATAGCTACAGGAAAGAACAACTTCACATAAGTATTTTGTATTTGCATATATTCTTTCAAAGCACCATTGTAAAAAAACAGCTTTTACTGTGTCTGAATAGGTCTATTTTCCACAGAGATCACTAGTTCTGATTAAAGTTCCGCTGTAAACAAGATGAATGGCGCTGACCCTGAGCCGTGGCGCTGTACTTTTGCTTGTGTTTGATTAAATATGTGTTTTAATAAAGACTGAGCTAATGCCGAAACCTTGACTAGACTGGGGAGGTTTTAATGCACTGAATCTAAATTGAGTTAGCAAAGCAAGGACAAGCTTGACTTGGCTGGCTCCCTTTCAAAGCAGTCAATAATAAAGCTCAAGACCTTCTATGTCATTGCCCACAAAACTAAAGCCTTAATTTATCATAGTGCCCAGTGCCAGCAAAACATGCCAGCAAACAGAATGAATAAGTCATGAATGAGTTCCCTCTAAAAGAACTTTGGTGTATAGATGCTAGCAGAATTAATTGACAAAACATATCTTAATAGACTTGCTATTGTTGCTGAACTGAAATGCATTTGGAATTCCTGCAAATGCATCAATTAGTAAAACTTTTTTCTTTTTTGCCTTCTCTTCACCGTTCAGCACTGAAACGATTCTGTGAAATTGCTACCACCCGGCACAAAGAGAAAAGGCTTTTGTTGTGCTTGCCTTTCAGACAGACGGCGACAAAACAAGTTTTCCAGAGCTTTAAGAGCCGGGAGGGCAGAAAACGCAGAGACTGCAATATGGTTCCAAAAATACTTGAACTGGGACCTTCGCTACATGAAATGACAGGAATCATCTGAGTGTGATTTAAGAGAGGAATGTCCAGAGTTTGTAGTAGTACTTTTATATGATATAAATCTGCGGATACATAAAATATACATATAAAAATTCTCCCTAAAATCACAGTTCAATTATTACAAAATGGTGAAGGTGTCATTCCTCATGTTTAACACAAACGGCAGTAATCGCTCGGCACTAAAGGGTGAATATCACCCTCTAGTCTACGTTCTAAATACAGCACGTCTTTGAGTAGAATTGATATGATTGACTTGTTTTAAACTTGTTTCACCACTTATTGTCTACTTAATATTATTTCACATTCTAAAACATGCCAAAATAAAAAGTCCTATTATCATTGAATGACCAAGAGTAACACATACTATGTCTTCTGTAATTAGATTTAATGCATTCTGGTCTGAAACTAAATGACACAATAAAACAGTGCACAGACAGAGTCCAGAGCTCCTCATAAGCCTTTTAACCCCGTTCTTTCTCCTCCATTTATTTGCGCACAAAGGCAGTTTCTGATGTCGACAAGAGCCATTTAACACATGAGTAGCAGAGGGGGCGGGAAGGGGGGCAATAAATCTGATGTACCTCCACTTCATATGACCTCTGTCCCTCCGCTCAGCCTGCCGCTCCATCTTTTCATTCACGTTCAAGCTTGCAAGTGTAACATCCTTACAAATGCATTTATAGCCGGCAAACGCTTTCATACTTGAGAGGCCACTTTGTTCATTCAATACACCCATTAGCTCGACCTTATCATATGTTTTAAAGTAAGTTTGAGCGGAGGAAATGTGAGGCATTTTTGAGAAGTTGACATTGTAACACTGTCATAAACGCATAAAGAAAGTCTACTATAAAAGCTTGAGAAGAAGACAAAAAAAACCATGGTTCAAATAAATGATACTTGCCAGAATCCAACAAGGGCGAATTGAAGATAATGTTTCATCAAGCCTATTCTGACATAGCTACAGGAAAGAACAACTTCACATAAGTATTTTGTATTTGCATATATTCTTTCAAAGCACCATTGTAAAAAAACAGCTTTTACTGTGTCTGAATAGGTCTATTTTCCACAGAGATCACTAGTTCTGATTAAAGTTCCGCTGTAAACAAGATGAATGGCGCTGACCCTGAGCCGTGGCGCTGTACTTTTGCTTGTGTTTGATTAAATATGTGTTTTAATAAAGACTGAGCTAATGCCGAAACCTTGACTAGACTGGGGAGGTTTTAATGCACTGAATCTAAATTGAGTTAGCAAAGCAAGGACAAGCTTGACTTGGCTGGCTCCCTTTCAAAGCAGTCAATAATAAAGCTCAAGACCTTCTATGTCATTGCCACAAAACTAAAGCCTTAATTTATCATAGTGCCCAGTGCCAGCAAAACATGCCAGCAAACAGAATGAATAAGTCATGAATGAGTTCCCTCTAAAAGAACTTTGGTGTATAGATGCTAGCAGAATTAATTGACAAAACATATTCTTAATAGACTTGCTATTGTTGCTGAACTGAAATGCATTTGGAATTCCTGCAAATGCATCAATTAGTAAAACTTTTTTCTTTTTTGCCTTCTCTTCACCGTTCAGCACTGAAACGATTCTGTGAAATTGCTACCACCCGGCACAAAGAGAAAAGGCTTTTGTTGTGCTTGCCTTTCAGACAGACGGCGACAAAACAAGTTTTCCAGAGCTTTAAGAGCCGGGAGGGCAGAAAACGCAGAGACTGCAATATGGTTCCAAAAATACTTGAACTGGGACCTTCGCTACATGAAATGACAGGAATCATCTGAGTGTGATTTAAGAGAGGAATGTCCAGAGTTTGTAGTAGTACTTTTATATGATATAAATCTGCGGATACATAAAATATACATATAAAAATTCTCCCTAAAATCACAGTTCAATTATTACAAAATGGTGAAGGTGTCATTCCTCATGTTTAACACAAACGGCAGTAATCGCTCGGCACTAAAGGGTGAATATCACCCTCTAGTCTACGTTCTAAATACAGCACGTCTTTGAGTAGAATTGATATGATTGACTTTGAGCTACTTGACAAGGATGGGACAATACTTAACCAAACCTCTCCTAAGAGAACGTTAATGGATGGTTCCCAGACTAAATAATCACTTCAAATTTAGTCTAGTGTCAAGGTTGACTTTTCACAGTAATCTACATCAAGTCATCAGTAATATCTGCTGAAGAAAATCAATACAATCAATCAATCAATGTCGATATAATGCTTTAGCAGTGTCCAGAGCAGTCCTGGAGTCAGGACCCCCCATGCAACACATTGCTCCCTGAGGGGCTTGAGAGTGCACTGCTGTGGGCACGAGTAGCTTAGGGGCCAGAGGACCAGAGGACCAGCTGGCCACCCGCTCCCTGCTCTCCTCCCCTGCCCCGGGACAGCCATGAAAGGGCCTCTACAACCTCTGGGGAGTGCTTAGCGTCTTGTCAGCCATTGTGGCTCTAATGGTCCCCTGCA